TTTCTATCTAGCCTCTTCTAGGCTAATTCTCGCACCTGGACTAGCCCATTTCTAATAATGTGTGTAAGCACCCCAAGGTGCGCTTACCGGGAAGATTCTAGCCTACGTCCATCCTGGGTCGGAGCTGCCTGGGAGAGCGGAGCATGGCTGTCGAGTCTACCCGGGAGAGCTGAGCATGGCGTCTCTGCTCCCGAGAGCAGAACTGTCGGCTCTTCCGGGAGCAGAGCAGAGTCTGAGCTCACTTCCTCTTCTTCCCAGCATCCTAGTCTATGTTTTAACCTATCAGGGCCAACGAGTTTCTTTATTGCTTAACCAATGAAATCAACAGATTGATATATGACACTCCCACATCATGGGAGGCTGGGAGGAGGCAGAAACTTTTTTTTTCTTTTCCTTTGTTCAATAAAAAAAAAACTAAAAAAAAAGAAATAACACACTAGCTCAGAATTGAGAAATTGATATTTATTTAGGGGTAAACTCACAAATCAGCCTCCTCTGCTTGAATGGAGAACATTAGACAAATCCAGCAACCAGAAAGAGAGTGGGTGCATGTTCTACGTCAGCTTATATAGTATGAGGCCACGCCCCAGTGGGCAGGTAATCACTGGCAGTAAGACTTCCTAAAGCACCTCCCACTTTTGTTTAAATAAGAGAGTTCTAAGCCTAATACAAAATTATATACAATAAGAACAAATATATTCAATAATTATCCTATCTTAACTAGTTTAAGTCTTGTATAAATAAATAACTTGGACACGTCATGAAAGCAAAATTAACGACTATATAGTCTTCAACCCCATATAAGATCTGAGAAGAGAAATAATATTACTTGAGTAAGCAGGAAATACAATCAAGCAACTTCCAATTTGTACAATAAATGACAGAGACAACTGGCTACCTGGGCAATAACCAAAGTCTCATTTGCAACATTGAAGCAACCAACTTTAGCTAAAGCCTAGAATAACTGACAGACCATTTTCAGAGGCAGAAAACTTTCCCAAACCATCTTACTCTGTCTTGGCATGATTTGACAGTCCTGCTTATCCATTTCCAGATACTATGTATCTTCTCAGTGGTTGAGGCATGGGCATTTCTCTGCCCAAAAGCCAGTTTTGCCAAGAAGAAAACAAGCTCCAAATGGAGTGACTTCAGTGCTCAACATTCTCTTAGGAACAAATTGGAGATGCCAGGAGCAATCGTGTCTCACTAAAATAACAACCCTAAGTTATATAAATTCCATACTCTACAACTCTTTGAAGTGGTTGAAGAATACCTATCTATGCAGAGTATAATCTCTATGAATCTAAAGAACCTGACTATTCTAACTATAAGTAAGACAAATCTGTATGACTATTGATCTGTAATTCGTGATTCCTATATAACTTAAAGACTAAGACTTCATAATTGAATATTATATAATAAGCAAATGTGCAACAAATGAGGAAAATGACTTCCAAATGTAAACAATGTATAAGTATCTTGATCAGAGGTAGAACTTTACATTGCAATATGATAAATATATATCAATATAAAAAAGTTCTAAACAGAGGTAGAACATGTGTGCATACAATATTCAATATAATTTAACTTTGCATCAATACATTAGAATCTATACCAATGTAATTGCCTACAAATAATAACTCATAAGTATTCACTCTATTACTCACTATTATTATTAGTGTGATTAGGCATATACTAATCTATTATCCCATCCAATTTTCCCTTTTTACAAAGATATCCCTGAGCCTACAACCCCCAACCCCATACCAATTATAATCAACCCCTAAATGATGTTCCTGACCCTGAGGACAAACTTTGTTGGAAGAGGGAATGTTATCTTCTAGAATTACTTCCAGCTATCATGGAGGCAATGTTCTTTCTATGGGATCCTCTGAAAGTAAAATGATGGTTAAGTTCCAAGATCACTGTCTGGTATAATTGCAAATAGTCTCTGAGTATTTGGTAGGGTTTTTCTTATCTTCCTATTTGGAGGTCTGGCAAGAACATTATTTAAAAAGTGCACCATTTCCACTAACCAATAGGAACCATCATATTGAGCAAATGGTACCCAAAATAGATCTTGTAATAGCACTATTAGCATCATGACTTCATATCAACCAGGTGTAGTTGTTATTGTGGGGCCCCTTCTTTTTCCTGGAAACTTCAAATATTGCTGCATGAATATTCATTGTTCATTGTGGAAAACTTAAACATTTATATAGACATATATAGTCATTTATATTCAATGAAAGGTACAATAGAAAAAATAGATATGAAGAAAACTAATTTTTTCTAAATTCTCTTTACTTTCTGTCCCATATCATGGCTCCTGACATGAGACAGAAATTCTGAAGTTTTATTTTAACAACATTCTTGGATTTAGAGAAGGACAGAGCCAGTGTACAACTCCAAATCCATCTCTGTGTTTCATAAATATATATACATATACATATATGTATATGTTTTACCACCTCTACTTATGAGTCATATTTATTTTTCTTGATGACCCTTATTGGATAGTTATTTTTCCTTCTGTAAGAATCCAAACATCCAGGGTCTCTTGAATTTTTGAAGATGAGTATTTTCCTGCAAAGACAAGAAAAGAACCCTGTCCCAACCTTATATGATTTCCTTACCACCTGTATGGTTGTCATTGTTATGGACAAGCTGTCATTTCTCTTTTTCAAGAGTTTCTCCTTTTCAAACTGAATCTTTATTAAATTTGATGGTATCCATAGTTTTCTTCTCCTGTGGAAACAAGAGCAAAACCCTTTCTCCAATGCAGCACATATCCTGGCTTCCATTGTGAGGTCAGCACATCCTTTAAATAAACTGGCTGATTTAATTTAGAAGACTTTTCTATTATCCAATTTATCTCTGCTGCTGTTGTCCCTTTCTCATTAGCATTAAGAAAATTCAAGGTTAATACAGCATTATACGATCTATTTCTGGGGGCATTATCCTCCCCTTTCTGTTTGTTTAACATATCCTTTATAGTTCAATTTGATCTTTCTATAACTGTCTGGCCTGTAGGATTGTGTGGTATACCTGTAATATGCTTAATATATTATAATAAGAAAAAAGACTGTTCCATTTTCCTAAAGACATATTCTGGACAATTATCTGTCTTTATATAAGCAGGTATATCCATGATGGCCATAACTCTAATAAATGTGTGATTACTGAATCAGTCATTTCTGAGCTTAAAGCCATTGCCCACTGAAAACCTGAATAAGTGCCAATGATGTGTTGTATATACTTTAATTTTCCAAATTCTGCAAAGTGGATCACATCCATTTGCCAGAATTCATTCCTTTGAGTACCCTCTGGGTTAGTCCCTGCAGGTAGCATTGTTTGGTTATAGAAAGAGAAAGTAGGGCATCTCTTTATAATCTCCTTAGCTTGTTCCCATTTAATAAAGAACTTTTTCTTTAAACCTTTGCTATTGACATGATAAATTTTATGATATTCTGAGGCCTACAAATGCTTCCATTCAATAATTGATCAATTACTGCATTACCTTGTGCAAGAGAATCTGGCAGACCCATATGGGATCAGATGTGTGATATGTATGTAGGACAAAGCCTATTCCTGATCATGACTTACACCTCAATAAATAATGAAGTCAATTATGCAATCGCCTTGTGAAAATTCAGCAGGTTCAGTATGCAAGATAATTCTTTATGCACATTGTGAATCAGTAACTATATTAAGAGGTTCTTTAAAATTTCTTAGCACCATGAGAATACCATATAATTCTGCCTCCTGGACAGAATTTTAAGGGCTTTATTATACCTTATTTAATTCTTCTAATTTGTATCCTGCCTTTCCTGATTTGTTTACATCAGTATAAAATGTACAGGCTCCAGTTATTGGAGCATCATGTACAATTCGGGGAAGGATCCAAGAAATTCTCTTTATAAGTTTAAGTCTATCACTTTGGGGATAATTGCTATTAATTTCTCTCAAAAAAATAGCACAAGCTCTTTCCCATGGTTCATTGCCTTCCCATACTTTTTTATTTCATCAGTAATGAAAGGCACTATAATCTCTGCTGGGTCTTACTTTCAAATTGACAAAGTCTCAATTTACCTTTTATTGTTAATTCAGAGACTTTTTCCACATATATTTTAATTTTTTACTGGATGTTTGTGGTAAAAAGATCCATTCTATGATAATATCATCCCTCTGCATTAAATTTCCTGTAGGGGAAATTATGGAAGGCAATATGACTAGTATACAATTAAGATTTGGATTCACCATATTGACATGTGCCTCCTGTAATTTCTCTTCAACAATTTTCAATTCATTTTCTGCTTCAGCTGTGAATTCTCTGTGACTATTCAAGTCTTTATCACCATCTAAAGTTTTCTTTAAATGAATTATTAGATCAAGTTTTGTCCCAACAGCCAGCTGTATGCTGGAAATGTCTCCTAACAATCTTTGGAGGTCATTAAGAGTCAGCAACCAGTCTCTCCAAATTTATGCCTTTTGTGCCCTAATTTTCTGCAAACCTCTTTTATAACCTAGAGGCCATCATTTTGATAATAGGGAAGACAGAGGAATAACAGATTGTAAAGGGCCCATAGGTTGAATTATCTTATTGACAGCTCTTAGATCTGTCACCATTCTCCATTTACCAGATTTCTTTTTTACAACAAACACAGGAGAATTCCAAGGGCTGGTGGATTCTTCAATATGGTGAACATCCACTTGCTCTTGTACCAGCTGTTTCAAAGCCTGCAAATTATCTTCAGCTAGAGGCCACTGCTTAACCCATATTGGTATCTCAGTTCACCATTTTAAAGGTATGGCTGCTGGTACCTATAAAGGTTTGCTAGTTGCTATGTTCTTGTATAGCCTGAATGGCTGGTGACCTTTGTGTATAGCACCTTATAATATCCTTCACAGAAGCATGAGTTCCTGGAGCTGCAGGGATGTTATTCTGGGTATTCCATTACTGCAGCAGGTCATTACCCATAAACTTATTGCAATATTAGTAACATGTGGCTTCCCACTTTGACCTTCTGGCCCAATACAATCAATCCATCTCTTGATTAATTTGAGATATGATTCCAATTCCTCGTAATTGAACATCTGCCTCTTGAAGAAGCCAATTTGGAATGTTAATCTGGATATTTCCAATCAACTGTATAGCTATTTGATTGCTTCTTCCTTCCCCCTTAGTTCAATATATTTACAAATTTTTTTACTCCCAATTTTAGTGTTCTGCTTTATTCTATGCTTCTTCAAATTCTATTCTTTATTTCTGATCACTCATTACTCAGGTATCTAACTGTGGTACCATTTTCTCATGGATTCCTCACATTCTCCTTTGTATATCTGGCCATTTCTTCAGTGTTTATTAGGGTTAACTGATCAGCTCCACATAGAAAGCCCCTATTTCATGGTTCAGCCACAACATATATTATTTCTTGAACCAGAGTTGAGGCATGGGAATAATTGAGGCACAGTTTACAGGACAATATTAGGAGGGAGTCTTAGGGTTTATTTAAATCCTAAGATCACCCACTTTTATTATCAAAACTGTTTTCATATCAAAAGATAAAGTGAGGGAGAAGTTCATTAGCATTCTGTTTCCTGGGTAGAAGGAGAGAATGAGTTAGCTCACATATGGAATTATGGCTGCTCTCTCAATTAGACTGAATTAACACTACTTCCGTGGGCAACCACCTAATTAGAATAGAAGGAGCACATAAACATTAGCATATCCTAACTCTTTGTTTAGGATGGCATCAAGTTGTCTCAAAAGGCTAGGTGACCAGGTACAAATTGTACCCTGAAGATCGCTCAGAATTATGGCTGCCATACAATGTAGAAATACGGGCCTTTATAATATGGCCTCTCTATAAGGAATAAAAACATATTATACAAAGAAACTTTTCAGTTACAAACATGTTCTGACTCAATTGTTTGTTTTCTTCTTTTTAATTTGACCTGATGGACAACCTTGAATAACTTGGTTGTATTCTCTGTACCCTAATTTCCTCATCTGAATGTTTAGAATTAAGATCACCTTTCTCATCTGGAATTACAGAAAACTCTTTCTAACTTGCTACTATGTTTGTTTCTTCATATTTTATAGAGAGATAATAAAATGTAGCTACATAAGATTTTTTGAAATTTTAGTAATCTAGCATATGTAATTGATTATTGTAGTAAATATTAATATGTGAGGGACATTTCAGTGGTGCTTGGTACATGTAGAGCACTCAAGAAGCATTGCTCACTATTGGAAAATACTATGATAGTGAAGAAAACGTTATAATTTTTCTTCTAGGTAAATCACTATGGACAATCAAAATCAATATTTATTTAACTTCAGAGGCTATAACTTTCAAAGATCTATAGTTAGCATGAACATAGTGGAAAACATGGACAATCAGGAAATTAGAGATGATGATGTCTTCATAGTCACATATCCAAAATCTGGTGAGTGGCACAAATAGGCCGAATGGCATTCGTTTTTGTTTTGTTTCTTGTTTGTTTCTTTATTTTGCTTAGTTTATTTGAGATAGGGTTTCTCTGTCTCTTTGGAGCCTTTCCTGAAACTAGTGATTGTAGACCAGGCTAGCCTCGAACTTATAGAGATCCATCTGCTTCTGCCTCCCAATTACCTGAATTAAAAATGTGCGTCACCAACACTCAGTATTTTGGTTTGATAATAAGTGCATAAATAATCTCCTTTCCACACACTGTCATTTCAACAATATCAGTGACTTTTCTCACTGTTGCAACAGAATACATCGTCATGTTGGAGAAGCCACAATGGCAGCTGAAGCTACCTTGTCAACTTACATCTGCAGTCCAACTTGATGAACCTAATATAGATAACCCCTCATACATGTAGAATGATTTGTCTCCATCAGTATCCTAAATCCCATCAGACAACAGTATCTGTAATCACAACAACCTACAATTTAGAACAACGTATAATCAAAACACAAATAAAACTCAAGTGTCTAAGGTTAAGAACACCTGCCATACATAAATTGTAATTTATTGTGGACAAATGCTGGAGGGTAGGAATCAAATATGGAGCCAACAAAAGCCTATTGGTAAAGGATGGCAACATTCCTTACCCTATTGAACAAGTCTGAGATAATCAAAAATCTTTTCTCTAAAAGATACATGCTTTATTATATAGAGACTTTAATCTCAGACAATGATTAAATTTCCAACACATGCAATTTTGTTGACAGCTATAATGTACTTAAAATTTTCAAAAAAAAATGATAAAACAGTGAGACTTCCTGGAAGCCTTGAGGTTTGTGAAGCTAATCAGGACAAGAAAGCACAAGCACTTCCGTTTGACTCCTATTTTCTGTTGTACATGAAGATGAACTGAAGTTCCTTTTGTAAAGGTACTTCTACCTCAGCAGAAGGTGAAACTTACAAGTCTTGGTGTAAGTTTTTGCAGTGGTTAACACAGACTACATAGTAAAGCTATAGGTGTTAAGATTCACATCCCCACCCCAATTGTCCTTGTACAATAACACCAAGATTATATGTTTGTATTTGACCATTTCAGTAAATAAAGATGCTTTGCAAAAATATTTTTGTTCACATTAAATTGTACTTTGCTTTCTGTCTTTGTGATGTTTAATGTGGTACAGAACTTGAAGGAGACTGTGAGTCAGTCACTGGTTCACTGTAGATAATAACTAAACAACTCAGCTGCTGAAGAGATGTTGGGTGCTTCTGGAGGTCCTCAGAAAGAATGTAATGGGCTATAAGTGTTGATATTGTGCCACACAGGATACTGACATATTCACTGTCAGAAGCCCTGGAGTTGGGGATGTCTTGGCATGATTAGCTCTTTCAAAATTTCAGGTTCTGCTTCATATGGTGCACCATCACTCCTCACTGGAAATAGTGACTGGTTGATCCAATATATAAAACTACCAGCGAATTATCTGGAATAGCCATTAATAATTAAGAGTTAATCTAATCTACACTGTCACCAATGAATTATCTGAAATAGTCATTAATAATTAAGAGTTAATCAAATCTACACTGCCACTAATAAATTATCTGGAGTAGCCATTAATAATTAAAGCTAAATCTTAGCATGACGGTATTTGATCACATGGAGTCCATTCTTAAAGGGAATAGAATTGGAATTTTGCATGTATTTCCAAAATACTTCCACTGTATGACTTGATCTAATAGTCCAGAGACCAAATATCAATAACACTGAAGTCTTTGGTTTCCTCTTTCTATGTGTATTATGATCAGTCACTGGGAATATGGCAGTATTTGAGGTACAAAGCAAGATAAGAAATTGAAACTGGAAATATTTAATTCTATTAGTTTTCTCACCATTCTAAAAGATAAGTAAATAATAAAGTAGATTCAGAAATGAGTCAGAATTGCCCATAAACAGCAGTAAAGTAGCATTCAGTATCCTGCTATATATCATATGAAAATTAAGAAATAAAGTAGAAGGTTCCAAACAGGAAACAAACTGTCAGCAAGACAGAAGTGCTGCTACCCCTGGTGTGATCTGACCACACTGCATGTATCCACATTAGTAATACTGCCCTTTACAAGTTAATGTCTGCGAATGCTATATATCAATAGCAGTTAAATATTAACGAAAGGACTTGACATGAAGCATAGAACACACAGACACTATGAGAATCATTTGGATTATCACTACCAATCAGCACATATTTATGAGTGAGAAAGGAACAGAGTTGTGGAATTCAGCCATACTGACTTGAGTGTTCAACACAGACAAAGGGGAATGAAAAAGGAGCACATCCAAGCATGCCTAGGTTGCTAAAGGGAAAGAGAGCTCCAAATTATTTGTAAAATGGATGACATTACTGTTGGTGTTCATTATTAAAACCTTCTTCAAGATTGAAAACAGGATTGTTATTTGTTCTTACAGGTACTGTCTGGACACAGCAGATCCTCAGCTTGATTTATTTTGAGGGCCACCGGAACAACACTGAAAACATCCTAACAGCAGAAAGAGCACCCTTCTTTGAGTACAAACATCCTAGTGTGGACTATGCCAAAATGCCATCACCTCGTGTCTTTTGTACCCACCTCCCATATTATTTAGTGCCAAAAGTTTTCAAGAACAAAATAGTCAAAGTATGTCATAGAGCTTAGTGACTTACTGTACCCATGAAATGCCTTCTCTAAGTACTGAATAATTAGGCTATTCCAATGTTTTGCCACTGTGATGCAGCTGCTATGAACGTTCTTGAGTGTGTCTACTGGTACTCTCCCAGCAGCTTTCCTAGAACCCGCACCCATGAATAGTGCTGCAGAGCCACAGTGACCAGAGTTTTCCACATTTGGAGGTGATGCAGTAATTCTGAAAAAAGTGTATTTGTCATTTCTTGCAGAAATGCTCAATAGATGAATTCTTAGTGTTTCTTCAGTAACATGACATATCAGACTTTTAGATGTTTCTCAACATGGCAGCTAGAAAAAGGGTCTCAAATGTATGTTAATTTGCATCTTCACCCTTATAATGGAAGTAACCATGTTTGATGTTTATTGGCCATCATTATTTTTGATTATGTGAAAAGGTTCTATCATTAGTCTAATATATTATTACATTCTTGTTGGTTTGTTTTCTGTCACCTCTAGATATGAATCTATTTTAGCTCATCCTCATTGTTTTCTCATGTGTGTTTTCATCAGCAACATTCTTAATTTTAGTTTTATAAAACTGATTTTTCTTTTTGTTGTTATTTTCATATTTTTATTAAAAATTACTTTTCATCTTATTATACCATCACCAGTTCCCCCTCTTCTCTTTCCCTGTCTCCTACAGCCCCCCTTTCCATTTTCCATCCATTCCTCAGAGGGAGTAAGGCCTTTTTTCAGAAATCAACAAAGTCTGGAATATTAACTTGAGGCAGGAGCAAGCTCCTACCCCTAATATCAAGCCTGAGTAAAATATCCCACTATAGAGAATGGACTCCAAAAAGCAGATTTATGCACCTCGGATGGGTCCTAGTGTGAATGCCAGGGTCCCCTACCTCATATCAAACCACATAATTGTCACCCACATTTAGAGGGTCTAGTTCAGTCCCATGTAGGTTCCTCACCTCTCAGTCCATAGTCTCTGAGCGCCCACTGGCTCAGGCCAGCTGTCTCTCTGGGCTTCCAAATCATTCTTTTTACTCCCCTTGTTATTTTGATCCATCCTCCCTCTCTTCAAATGAACTCCAGAAGCTCATCTGAGTGCTTGACTGTGGGTCACTGCATCTGCTTCCATCAGTTACTGGATATAGGGTCTATGATGACAATTAGGGTAGTAATTAATCTGAATAAAGGGGAAGGCCCTTTCAGACACCCTCTCCACTATTACTAGGAGTCTTAGCTGGGGTCATCCTCTTGGATTCCTGACAATTTCCCTAGTACCAGGTTTCTCCAAAACGTCCTCTGCCAAGGTATCTTCCTCATTGTTCTCTACTAACTCACTCTTGTTGATCCCTCATGTTCCTATACATCAACTCCTCCCTTCTACCCTCCTACAAGTTTACCCAAGAGATCTTAATATTTTCCTTCCTGGATCCCTCCATGTATGTCTTTCTTAGGGTTCCCCCTTTTACCTAGTTTCTCTGGAATTGTGGATTGTAGCTTGGTTATCCTTTGATCACATCTAATATCCACTTAAGAGTGACTACATACCATATCTGTGTTTCTGGACCTGGGACACCTCACTAAGGATGATTTTTATCTAGTTCCATCCATTTGCCTGCAAATTTCAGGATGTCATTATTTTTTTTAACACTGAGTAATATTCCATTGTGAGAATGTACCACATTTTCTTCAGCCATTCTTCAATTGATGGGCATCTAAGTTGTTTCCAGGTTCCAGCTCTTATGAATAATGCTTCTATGAACATAGTTGAGCAAATGTCCTTGTGGTATGATTGTCCATCCTTTGGATATATGGCCAAGAGTAGTATTACCAGGTGTTGAGGTAGATTGATTCCAAACTTTTTGAGAAACTACCATGCTGATTTCCAAAAATAGACAAACTTTTCTCTTAGTACTGTTGTCATATTGTCACATAAATTTGGGTATGTTGTGCTTTCATTTTTGTTGAATTCAGGGAAGTCTTTAATTTCCTACATTATTTCTTCCTGGACCCTTTGATGGTTCATTTGAGGACTGTTCAATTTCCATGTAATTGTAGACTTTCTACAATTACCATTTTGGTTGAATTCTAACCGTAAGTCATGGTGAGCTGATAAAGTACAGGGGGTTATTCCATTTTTTTTTTTTGTATCTGCTGAGTTTGCTATGTAACAGAGTATGTGGTGAATTTTAGAGAAGGCTCCACGAGGTGCTGAAAAGAAGATATATTCTTTTATGTTTGGGTGGAATGTTCTATAGCTGTCAGTTAAGTCCAGTTGAGTCATGACATCTGTTAGTTCCCTTATTTCTCTGTTAAGTGTCTGTCTGGTAGGCCTGTGCAGTGGTGAAACTGGAGTGTTGAAGTTTCCCACTATTATTGTGTGTTGTTTGATGTGTGATTTAAGCTGAAGTAATGTTTTCTTTACAAATGAGGGTGTCCTTGTATTGGGGCAAAGATGTTCATAATTGAGACTTAAACTTGATGGATTTTCCCTGTGACAAATATGAAATGTCCTTCTCCATCTCTTTTGATTAATTTTATTTTGAAATTTATTTGTTAGATATTAGCATAGTTATACCTGCATGTTTCTTCAGTCCATGTGCTTGGAAAATCCTTTCCCAACATTTACTCTGAAGTAATATGTGTATTCAAGGTTGAGATGTGTTTCTTGTATGCAGCAGATGGATGGGTCCTGTTTTTGTATCCATTTTGGTAGCCTGCATCTTTTCATAAGTGAATTGAGACCACTGATATTAAGAGATATTAATGACTAGTGATTTCTAATTGTTGTTATATTTAGTTTCGGTGGTGGTGGTAGTGTTTGTGTGTTTCCCTTTGGGGTTTGCTGGTGTAAGGTTACCTGTTACCTGTGTTTTTTGTGGAGTTTTTCTTCTAGTACTTTGGGTGGAGTTCTTCTTCTAGTACTTTCTGTAGGGCTGGATTTGTGGATAGGTATTGTTTAACTCTGGTTTTGTTGTGGAATATCTTATTTTCTCTGTCTGTTGTAATTGAGAACTTTGTTGGGTATAGTAGTTGGGCTCGCATCTGTGGTCTCTTAGTGTCTTGAGAACATCTGCCTAGGACCTCCTTGCTTTCAAAATTTCCATTGAAAAGTCTGGTGTAACTTTTGCCCAGTGATCTTGTTTGGACTCTCTGATTGTGGCTGCCAATGGGGGCAAACTGAGAAGCCATCAATAATGGCACTAGGACCTGTTTCTACTGCATGCACTAGCTTTTTGGGACCCTGATCTATTTGGATGCACACCTTCCTAGGCCTGGATGGAGTGGGGGAGGGCCTTGGACTTCCCACAGTGCAGGGTACCCTGCTCTCTCTTAAGGAGGGAGGGGGAAGGAAGAGAAAGAGTGGTGGAGGGGAGGGGAATTGGAGGAGGGGAGGAAGTGTAAATTTTTGAATAAAAATATTTAAAAAAGAAAAAGACAGAAGTCTGGTGTAATTCTGATAGGTTTGCTGCTTTATGTTACTTGGCCTTTTTTCTTTGCAGCTCTTAGTATTCTTTCTTTATTCTGTATATTTAATTTTTTGATTAAATTATGACAAGGGGACTTTTTGAGGGGTCTAATGTAAATGATGTTCTGTATGCTTCTCGTACCTTCATAGGCATTTCCTTCTTTGGGGTGGGAAAGTTTTCTATGATTTTGTTGAATACTTTCTATGCTTTGTGCTGGTATTCTTCTTCTTCTATCCCTATTATTTTTAGGTTTGGTCATTTCACAGTGTCCTAGATTTCATGGATGTTTTCTGTTAAGAATTTGTTGGATTTACCCTTTTTTGAGTAATGAAGCAATTTCATCTATTGTATCTTCAACCCTGTGATTCTCTCTTCCATCTCTTTCATTCTGTTGGTTATTTTTGCATCTGTAGTTCCTGCTCATTTAACCCCAATTTTCCACATCCAGAATTCCCTCAGTTTGTATTTTGTTTATTGCCTTTTTTTTTGAATTTTCAAGTCATGAACTATTTCCTTCCCTTGTTTGATTGCTTTTTCATGGTATTCTTGATTTTCTTTAAAGGATTTATTGATTTCTTCCAGTTTTTTGTTTGCTTTTTCCTCCATTTTTTAAGGGAACTTTGAAGTTCCTCTTTAAGGGTTCCTTTATTTTCATAAAGTTATCTTTAAGGTCATTTTCTTCTCCTTAATCTGTGTTGGAATATTCAGATTTTGTTGCTGTAGAACCACTCATTTCTGGTGATGTCATGTTGCTCTTTACATTGTTGTATGTACTACTATCTACCCATCTTATCCTCTAATTGGTACAAGTGGGTTCTGTAGCTCCCATGGTTGCTCTTCATCGAGGTGCAGTTAGGGCTTCTTCCTCTGGGTGCAGTTTGAGCCTGTGGCTCCAGGAGTTGCTGTCCCTTCATGTGTAGATGGGGCCAGTGGGTCCTGGGGCAGGAAATGGTTGATGGGAGAGAGAGCTTCTGCCTGACTGCTGGGGGTTCTGGGGGGGTGCTGGGTTTAGGGCCTAGAGAACAGTGCTTTCCAGGCAAGATATAAGATACCTGTTCCTACTGATGCACGTGGGGTCGGTGGAGCCTACCCTATTTTTCTTTTAAATAAATTCACATTTTTGAAAATTTTCCTTGCTTTCAGCCTAGAGTTACGTTCTTTGGATTTTGGTTTTTCTTTCTTATTCTTTTCCTTCCTCCCTTACTTTAATTCCTTTTTTTTTTAGTTATAAATTGATTGGCCCATTAGCTCATACTTCTTTTTAACTCTTATAACTTATATTACCCACTATTTTTATCTATGCTAGCCACATAAATAAAACTCGGTACCTTACTCAGCAAGGTAATCACACTTTACTTCTTCTGTGGCTGGGTCACAACTGTGGACCCAGCTTTTCTCTTCCCAGAATTCTCTGTTCTTGTTGCCCTATCTCTACTTGCTGCCTGGTTGTTCTGCCTATACTTCTTGCCTGGCTACTGGCCAATCAGTGTTTTATTAAAATACAATTGACAGGGTGTAAATTATTGTCCCACCGCAGGAAGAAGGAAATAGTCATAAAGGGTTGACATTTGGGGTCAGGGCAAAGTAGAAAAATGATTCATGAGCCTCAAAATGTTTTTGCCTGATTTAGATCGTATTTGGTATGCTTACTAAGACACTTCAGGCTTCACTTGGGAACAGTAGCAGCCACTTTTGCTCTTTGACGAATATCATAGTAGTAATGTGTTATTGTGATATTTCTGGGCCATGTTTGCAAAATGTTAGGAATATCAGTCAGATTAAGTATTTGAAAGAAATTATCTTTTTAAATATTATAACTCTGAGCTATCTCTGCAGCCCCATCCATTTTTTTTCTTAAAAGAGTACTTTGTGTAACTAAAGCTCCTCCTCCTGCCATAGACACCCAGGTGTTAATGTTGTAGACAGATGCCCACAAATTATGATTTCTATGTGAGTTTTCATACTACTTATGCACATAGCTCGTGTTTACCTTATTTTTCTGAAAGATATGAAGGAAAAACTCATTGTTCTTTGAAGATTATAGTAGATTACTAGGTATATCAATATGATTATTAGATTTTGTTTTCAGATTTATTTCCTCTGCTACCATAGTTTTCCAATATCACATAATGCCCATCTATTGACACTCATGGGTAATTAATTTATATTTAAAATATTATACAATATATTTTTATCATATGAGGCAAATCAATGTTCAGTATTTATGAACATTACAAATAATACTGCTTTTTAAGATTTGAGCTACATTCTTTTTAATTTAACATAATATTTATTTTTTATCATTATACATACAAATACAAGTTCCCATTCCCTCCCTTCCTCTCATTCACTCCACTTACCAACTTCCCACTCTCCATCCACTCCTCAGAAAGGACAAGGCACAATGCTTTGGAGAAGTTCAAAGGCCCTCCCTACTATATCTAGGTTGAGCAAGGTATCCATCCAAAGTGAATAGTTTCCCAAAAAGCTAGTACAAGCAGTATGGAAAAATCCTGATGCCACTGCCACTGGCCCCTCAGACTGCCCCAGCCATACAACTGTCAACCTCATTAAGAGGGACTAGTTTGGACCTATGCTTGATCCTTCCATGTCCAGCTAAAGTTGGTAAGTTCCCATTAGTTCAGGTAGATTGTTTCAGTGGGTGCACCCATCATGATCTTGACCTCTTTTTGAGTGACATTCTAAAACATGAAATACCATAGAGAAAGGTTGTTTATTACATTACTCTCTGTAACACCAAAATGTTGAAGGAGCGGCAGGGCTGCATCCCCTGCACCCGGCCGCCCACACAGCTAGCTTATGCCCCGAAATAATTACACGGAAACTGTATTCTTTTAAACACTGCCTGGCTCATTATCTGTAGCCTCTTATTGGCTAGCTCTTACATATTAATCTAACCCATTTCTAATAATCTGTGTAACCCACGAGATGGCTTACCAGAGAAGATCTTAACCTGAGTCTGTCTGGAGTGGGAGAATCATGGAGACTCCCTGACTCAGCTTCTTTCTCCCAGCATCCTGTTCTGTTTTCTCCACCTACCTAAGGGTTGGCCTATCAAATGGGCCTAGGCAGTTTCTTTATTAGTAAGAAATCACTCCCACATCACCAAAATATAAATAATAACCATTTTACTTTGAACAGTTCAGAGATTAGAAGAAATAATTATGCTTATTGTCATAATTAAATATTATAAAATTTTATTTAAAAACTTATAAGCATAACCAAGATTAGCTTAAAGAAATAATTTTATAATTTTGTCTACAGATTCTTTATATCTACAGAAATCCTAAAGATGTTTTGACCTCCTTCTTTTATTTTTCAAATTCGGTCATTCTATATGAAGCCTCAGATTCTATAGAAACATTTATGCAAGCATTTCTAGATGGAAGAGGTAAGTATTAATTAATTGATCCAGACTCAAATGAATTACACAAAAAGTACCAGAAAGCCAAATTCTCAGACTTATAGAACATAACTTAAAGAAATGGAGCCAGGCATTTTTTAAAAGAACAACCAAAGCCAGCTGAACTGGGACTGATGGAGCATGTGATCAAACCAGACTCTCTGAATGTAGCTGACAGTGAGGGCTGACTGAGAAGCCAAGGACAATGGCACTGGGCTTTGATTCTACTGCGAATACTGGCTTTATGGGAGCCTAGCCAGTTTGGTTGTTCACCTTCCTAGATCTGGATGGAGGAGGGAGGACCTTGGACTTCCCACAAGGCAGGGAACCCTGACTGCTCTTTGGATTGGAGAGGGAAGGAGAGGGGGGAGGGAAGAATGGGAGGAGGTAGAAATTTTTAATAATAATAATAAAAGAAAAAAAGAACAACAACAAAAAAATAGCAGACAAAAAAACACAAAGAACTTATCTCTAGTGAAAATTGTATGTCAACTCTATGAACTATCAACTGGTTTATCTTTTTGCACCATTTGAAGATTGTCAGGATTACAAAAACTTGTCATGTAGGAAATATTGTAGTTTACAGATATTCTTTTTTTTACTTTTTTTAAAATTTATTTATTTATTTATTGAAGATTTCTCTCTCTTCCCCACCA